TGGACATGAGGAAAAATGTCTTCCCTGCAAGGGTTGTCAAGGCCTGGCCCAGGCTGCCCAGGGCAGTGGTAGAGTCCCCATCCCTGGAGGGCTTTCAAAGCTGTGGAGATGTGCTGCTGAGGGACATATTTTACTGGTGCCCTGGCAGTGCTGGGTTAATGGTTGGACTTGCTCTTAAAGGTCTCTTCCAATCTCAATGATTCTATGATTCTGTCTTCATTATTCAGCAGAGTTGAAGCATTTCATCTTGTTGTTCTTGTGTTGCTGAATGTGTACCAGCCAAGCCATCCTTATGGCTTTGAGGTTACTGAGGGATGGAGCATCCCCTGACGGAGCATCCTACGATCCCCTTCGCAGCAGGGGTCCCTTGGAGAATGACTCTTGCCCTGCTCTGGAGGTGCAGCCTACATCCTTTGCTCTTTGCCTTTGCTCTTTTCCACTTTGCCACTGAGTCACCCTGTAAAGATTTACCCTCGGGGCCTCTTACATACTATTTGTTATCTCCTGCTTCCCTCTCTGGGCTATCTGCATATTTTATCAGTTTTTCTTTTTCTACTTGCTTCCAAGACTTTCCTAAAAACTCCTGAACAATTAGAGGCTGGAGTGAGCATGTAACTAAGGATGACATGCAAAAAATGGGAAAGGAACAGAGCCCTTAGGGAGTCTTTCTTTCCACTGTCCCATCTGGCCTAGGGTGATGAAGTACTGGAAACAAAGCTAGAAATTCCCCAGCTAACCACAAACTGTGCTGGGAAAACACTGAGGTGGTGCAGTGACTTCCCCAGTCCAGACCCCAGGACAGTAGCCTCCAGGACTAGGGACTGGCCACTGGTACTTGTATTCCCCTGGGTAGGGAGTGCTTGAATCATAGATTCACAGAACAGTTTGTGTTAGAAGTGACCTTGAAAGACCATCTAGTCCAACTCCCCCTGCAGGGAGCAGGGACAGCTTTAACCAGAGCAGGTTGCTCAGAGCTCCTGACCAACCTCACCTGGAATATTTCCAGGAGCCCACCTCTCTGGGCAACCTGGGCCAGTGTCTCACTAGCCTCAGCATAAAAAATTTCTTCCTTCTATCCAATCTAAATCTCTTTTCTAGTTTAAAACCATCACCCCTTGTCTTTTCACAGCAGTCCGTGCTAAAAGGATTGTCCACAGCTTTCTGATAAGCCTCCTTTATATACTGAAAGGCTGCAATTTTGTTATTCCCACCAGAAATTTTTGATGCAAATCTCCATCTGAAAATCCCCTGAAAGCACCCATGGGTTGAGGCTTGCAGCTGGTGGGCTTTGATGCAACAGTCCAAATTTCCCCCATCCTGCCTTCATCTAGGCAAGTTTGGGCTCTGGACAGGTTGACCACCCTTTGCCAAAGTCCACCATGATGTCACACTTCAGTGGCAAGGTCGCTGTGTGCCTCATTGACCCTGGGGCTCCATGACCCAGTTACACTGACTGTCCCTGCTCTGCTCTGCCAAGGGATTTTGGAGCTGCCACATCATATCCCACAGCCAGACTCCCTCACGGTCACCCACCAAGCAGCCAGCAGGGGCAGGACCACCTGGAGCATGAGGTTTGGGGGACTCAGCATCCCATATCTGTCCAGAAAGCTTTCCATTTCCAAAGGAAACTTGCAGTACAATGTCCAACTAAGAAATTGAAATGATGAAGACATATCCTCAACCACAGTGCATTCCTGTATTAGAAGAGGATTCGCACTGTCAAAGTCCAGGGAGCAGAGCAGGGGCCTGGAGAGACTATGCTCCCATGTAGAGAGAAAGGACCTGCACATGGTCTGCCACTTGGTACCTCAGGGGATGCTGGTGAAATGAATCTAACATGGATATTTTATTTCCCCTTCTTTTGGTTCAGCTGCAGGATGGATTGAAAGCTCACTGATGTTTATCACAGCCCAGAAGCCACTGGGAGCCTGGGCTGCACCCCCAGCAGCGTGGGCAGCAGGGCAGGGAGGGGATCCTGCCCCTCTGCCCTGCTCTGGGGAGACCCCCCTGCAGTGCTGGGGCAGCTCTGGAGTCCTCAGCACAGCAGAGACAGGGACCTGCTGGAGCAGGGCCAGAGGAGCCCCAGCAGTGACCCGAGGGTGGAACCCCTCTGCTGGGAGGCCAGCAGGAGAGAGCTGGGCTTGGGCAGCATGGAGAGGAGAAAGATCTCCAAGAGACCTTCTGGTGGCCTTCCAGTACTTAAAGGAGACCTACAGGAAATCTGGGGAGGGACTCTGTCAGGGAACATAGTGATAGGCTGGCAGCTGATGTTTTTAAGCTGAAAGAGATGACATTTAGCTCAGATATTAGGAAGAAATTTTTTACAATGAGGGTAGTGAGACACAGAAACAAGTTGCTCAGAGAAGCTGTGGATATCCCATCCCTGGAAGTGTTCAAGGCCAGGTTGGAGGGGTCTCTGAGTAACCTGATCTAGTGGGAGGTGTCCCTGCCCATGGCAGGAAGGTTGGAACAAGATGATCTGTGAGGTCCCTTCCAACCTGGTTTATGATTCTGTGATTATCCTCCACCTTGGGCAGTAGGTGGATGAGAGCACGGGATACAGGGAACCGCGCCGTGGTGCTGGGCAGCAGTGCCTTTGCCTAGACCCACAGCAGTGTCCTGTGGTCACTGCAGAGTGGACAAAAGCAGCAACAGGCTAAGCCATCTACTCTTCATTTTCATGATCAACACCAGGAGTATAAAATACATCATTTCTTCTGCCCAACTCTTTCACAAACCCTCCCAGAGACAGAAACAAAAATTGGAAGAAGCGAAATGAGGTGAGAACAGGCTCTGAAACTCACTGGGCACCCCAGCCTCCCATCCTGCACTAACAATCCTGGGGCAGTTTTCTCTCCAGGCAGAGAAATTGTCACAGTAACTGTCAAAGCCACACATCAGAGGGCAAGATTTGTTTCCAAGCTATGCATCAAAATCTGACCTAGGTATTAAATCTCCTACATAGTTGATGAAGTTAAATAATACCATCAGAGGCAGATTAATGTCACAGTAAGGCAGTGCCCAAGATCAGTGGCACGTGGCATTCTCCAAAGACATCTCTCTCTCTCTGCTGCCTTTGGAAGGGTCTAGTTTTTGGAAGGGTTGGTTTAGCCTAGAGACCTGAGGTAGGCACCTGGAGATAAATCCCATTGCTGGTGACTTTCCAGCTACATGACTCCTCTCGCCGCCTGTTGCTATCTCATCACGAGGATGAGATTATAACCACCAAGACACCTCCCATGCAGATTTCGACTGGGAGCTCAGCAGCTCATCCCCAGCAGCACAGGCAGTGGATAAACTCCCTTCCTCGGGATCGCTGGGAAAACTCTCCCAAGTGGCTATCACAGGGTTCCACCTCTCAGCCTTCCCAGCGGGGAGCAATGGGCAGCCCACAGCCGCCTCTGGGAAAACAGGTTGCGGCTTGTCGGCTTCCCCCACCCCACTCCTGGAAGGACTCCGCAGCCAAGTCCAAATAAACAAACCTGCCAAAGTTCAGTGCCAGTTCGAGGCCTCCTTATCAGCAGGGTTTTTTTTTTCACAAGCTGTTTCTGTTTGCCTTTCTTCTCCAGGTAGTCTGTTTAGCTGCAATCAGCAAACGCTCTGGGACCCTATTTTTGGGACTTAGACCCTCAACAGCCGCTTTGTTCTTTGGAATGTTTCATTTTTCCCCATGCTAGCTAAAGGGCCTTCTGTGGTCAGCAGGACTTCATCCATCCCCAGTGTGGTTTGCTTTCTCAGGGCACACTGGCAGAGCAGAAGTCCCCCAGCTCCATGCATCCCAGGAGGAGAAGCTGATACAGGCAGACTCTCCCTACTAATGGTGTCACACCCTGTGGGTACCTCTCAAGCAGACAACTCAAGGTCATCATTCAAAAGGAGACTGTAGAATGTAAATCTGACAGACCAAAAAAAAGGATGATAATAAAGATAAGAAAAGGCTTCAGCTTAAATATGGGATATCTGGCCATAAAGACCATCAGAGGACCAAGGGGAGGTATTATGTATGAGAAACCTATAGCTGAACTTCCCCCAGTTAGACCTGCCCTGCCTTTCAGCTCACAGTAGTGGCCCAAAAGCCCAGAGGTGATGCAGAGCTGGAAGATGTGCCCATGAAAACACCATAAAGCTAAACCTGTTAGGTTTTGGTCCCACTGCAAGATGCAGATTGCTTCCATAATGACGTTACTGCCTTTCAGATCCCTGTACAGGAAAGGTACAATTTGTCCTTCTCTCTCCTGCCCACCCATCCTTTTTGGCAAAAAGACTTCACGGGACCCTAAGCCCCATCACCACCTTGCAGGAACTCTGGCCCTTTGCAATTTGTAACATCTTTAGGAACCATTTAAACTCCACAATCAAAAAGTTCAGGCATGGGGAAAAAAATTAAAAGCACAGTAGGTGGGCCAAGGGGCTAGCAGCCTGTGGGGAACACAACTAGCAAAGCACCCGTCTCCTAAATCCCTTCTCACGCTGTTTTTGAGGGGTAACAATCCAACTCCATCAGCAGGCTCTCCCCACCCCCCTCCAGCCTGGCCCTTTAAGTAACCTGAGCCTCTGGGCTGTCTCTAAGAAGATGGAAAAGCAGTTTTCCCCATTCCTCCTTGTGGGTGTTTTCTGTTAAAAGCAACCATTTATCCCACTTTCCCTTCTGATGGGAAGAGATGGTTCACCAAGGGATGGAGCAGCTTTCTGAGCATCCTTTATCCAGGCAAATCGGCCATTTCTCCACCCCACGATTCTTCCGGCAGCTCTTTTTTTTGCAGCTCGCCTCCCCTCCCGGAGGTCTTTGGCAAACCTCAGCTGATTTCCAAACCCACCGTGGCTGATGGGGGTTGGTGCAAAGGTTTAATGATTTGCTTTTCCTTGGGAGTGTAAGGCGGGGATAGGGAGAAGGTCGGGCCCCAACTCCTGACGCTGCAGATCTTGCCCACTTTTGTTGTATAGCCCCTCTCCCACCCCCCCTTCCTCCCCTGCCTCCCGCCCAGCTCCCAGAGCCCACCATGAATCCACAGGCGGTTTCAGGATACATTTGCCTGCTTTGCTTTTCCTTCATGAGCACAGCAAAAGGTAAGAGACTTTGGGCTGCTTCGGGTCGAGGGACACGATGGGGTTCGGATGCCCCAAGAGGCAAGATCCTCATCCTGGGGCTCATAACATCTCCCCAGTTTTCAGCTGGGGAGGGAAGAGTTATTGCTGCAACTGCAAATGGTCCGAGCATCTCCAGGGGTGGGGAAATTCTGAGGGACCATGAGTGAGTCTTCCTCACCCTGGGGGGGCGAGGAAAACTGAGGAGCTGGAGCTTTTTTAACTGCACACAGTGCAGAAATATAGAAACTCTTCAGTCTGACTCACGGAGGAAAGCCCCAGGGAGTGAGCTGGATTTCTATCAATGTATTTACCATTATAACAAAAAGTAGCAAAACTCTAAAACATTTTGAAAGCCCAACAAGTGAGTCATATTTGCAGGAGATTTTCAAGTGGCTTTAGACAATAGATGAGACTGGTTATGTCATGGCAAAGGCAACCCTCCCCCCTACAATCATATTTCTTCATGAACAAGGGACAGAACTCCAAATAATTCTAGATCAATAAGATTAAAGCAAGGAGTTTTGAGTTAAAGCTGCCCCACCAACTTCTTTTGGCCCTATAACAAAGCCAGTGGTTTAATTAAGAGTTAGAGGTTCTAATGAGAAGCACACAATATGAGGAGTATAGCCTCTCTTCTCCCCGGAATAAAAATGAACCAGTTAATGTACAATGCTGAAAAGACACTTTGAGACATCTGTCCTGTCTGTGGGCATGCTCAGGGAACTTTACTTCAGGATTAAAGTGAGTTTCTCTGGCAGTTTCAAAAAGTCCTGAAATCCCCAAGCAGAGCTTCCACTCTGACCATTTCTAAGGCAGGGCTGGAAACACAAGCAGGAATCTGCTGTCACTGCGAGAACGCTCAAATATCCAAACTGAGGGCACAAATGATTTCCCATTAAAACCTTCCCATGTTCTCCCCAAAATATGTCAGCTATACCTATTGCTTGGTGTAAAAATGACACTTCCAGGATGCAGGTCACAAGTGTCCCTATAAGTCCAAGTCCTCTATAGGATGGAGGATGTTGGCTGCAGGCATCTATGACCACATTTCATCAACCTTTCTATCTTTCCATAGGGGGATTGCAGCTGCTTTCTTTCCAGCCAGGGACCCTGTACCAGTACCACTATTCCCTGGATGTCTGGCTGGACCACTCATCCACGCCCTCCCCACGGGGAGCCTGGCTGAGGGCTGAGGCTTTGGTCCAGCTGCACCGGCTCTGGAGGGACCAAGGTGGGGAAGAGCTCCTCCAGATGCAGGTGTGTGAGGTGGTAAAGCCATTGCAGCCAAGTACTTCTCCTGTTTTTCCTTCCCCCCCGTCCCTTTCTAGCCCAAGCCACCTGAAAAATGACCTCTGTGCCCAAGAGGCCATCGCCTGCAAGTAAACTTCACATCAGCTGTAGAGCAGACATGCTTGGTCACTGCTTTCTGCTGTCTTCTGCTGTCATAGATCCGCAACCTGAAAGCCCAACACGAGCCAGAAGAGGAGAGGAGCCAGGACAGCACAGGAGGTCCCCCTGCAGAGATTGCACTGAGCAAGGAGACACAGGCAGAGCTCCATCAGCCAGTGTTCATCTCCTGGAGCAGTGGGAAGGTCAGCTGGACACCTCCTAGGCATGCTCATGACCTCTGCAGAGCACTCCTACCCTCATCCCAAATTTTCTCAACCACAAAGCCCATACAAACTCCTGCTCCACCTCTGATTTCATATCAGAGCACAAGGAATGGGACAGGGTGGCAAGGATAGAAATATAGTCTCCCGTGGGGTCCAGTATGACCCTACATGGAACCCCATCCTCCAAAGGGGCTGTGGGCTCTGTTGGAGCTGCAGCATCCCATGTTAAAAGGGCTTCAGTCCTAACCATGGGATATAAGCTCCTTTCTGACCTTCTTCCTCTAAGGCTTTGGAAAACTAGGGAGGGGAAAAAAGAGAAGGGGATTTTTGTGGCCATACATCCACAAAGCTTGTGCTGTTGAGGGATACAGTCCTTGTGAAGAACCTTCAGGTATTTCCAGAGTGTTGTTTAGGTTGCAGGGGAGATGCCTTTCAGGCAGCAGAGAGCCCACAAGGTCCCCAGAGCCATCCCCAGAGCCAGACACCGTCTCTTGCTCTTCCAGATCAAAGCCTTCTATGGAGACGAAGCAGAAAGCATCCTGATCTCAAACCTGAAGCGAGGTGTTGTCAGTCTGCTCCAGCTCCAGCCCCACGCTGGCACTGCAGTGGAGGTAGGTCCAGAGCTGGGGACAGATCCTGCCCAAAAGCCAGGGACCATGCCACAACAGGAGAGCCAGCCCCAAAGCACAGCCAACCCAGTTGCTTCAGCAGAGGAGGCAAAGTTCAGAATATACTGATGATGGAGTCACCTGTGAACAACATGAAATAACCTCAACCCCCAAAATGCAGGCACAAAGCTGCTGCTGCTGCTGGTGTTAGCCTGAATTTGCAAAAGCAAATTTCCTGCCCAGATGGGCTTGAAGCCACCTAACACCCCCAAACATAGCCCAGTTTCTATTTTAAATATTTTTTCTTTTAATAGCTTGCCCTTTGTGACCGTTCTCTACAAAGAGAATTTCATTCAGCCTCAATCAAAGCTGATCACCCTTATCCATGGTCACGTACATTTGTGTTTCAGGAGGATGTCTCTGGGAGCTGCCAAGTCACGTATGCTGTGTCCAACCACTCCATCACAAAGATGAAAGATCTCCTCAGCTGCACAAAGCCAAAGTTTGGATTCGCCTCCGTAAACAAAGCAAGTCCATGGCTTTCATGGTGGTGGGTTCAACTTATACCAAGGCCATCAGGGCTGTCCCCAGAATCTTCCTGCAGATGGGCTGAGAGTCACACTACCAACTGGCTTCAGCCTTCTGCACCAGCTTGGGGTGGGGCCCTAGCTCTTAGACCTATACCCAAAGCAGGATGCACCAATATACTTCAGAAGGAACACATGGTTTCAAGGTGGGCAGGCACAGAAAAGATCACAGAACTCCAGCATGGTAGGGGTTGGAAGGGGCCTCTGGAGATATCTCATCCAGCAGGGTCACCCAGAACAGGTTGCCCAGGATCTTGTCCAAACAGGTTTGGAATCTCTTCAGAGAAGGAGACTCCACAACCTCTCTGGGCAGCCTGCTCCAGGCTCTGGCACCCTCACAGTCATCCCAATCCCATCCCTGTTATCACTTCTGACCTGTCAGCTAATCCTGCTTGGGAAGATGGAAATAGAGAAGTGTTTGCTAGACCTCAGACTCATTGGATTGGGGATTAGGTTGACAGGGGACAGGAAAAAAGGCTATTGCTTGTTTCATTTAAAGTAGTAGCTCCTCTTCAGTCCTGACATAAACAGATGAAACTCTGCAGGTCTTAAAGCAGTTATACCTGAAATTATTAAAATCAATAGAGTTTTTTAAATATATAAATTCTACTGGGGCAGGGCCAGAGGATGCCCCAAAAATGACCCACGGGCTGGAACCCCTCTGCTGTGAGGCCAGGCTGAGAGAGTTGGGCTTGTTCAGCCCAGAGAAGAGAAGGCTCCAGGGAGACCTTAGTGCAGCTTTTCATTACTTAAAGGGGGGGTCTAAGAAAGGTGGGGAGGGACTTTTTAGCAAGGCCTGTTGCAATGACAGGACAAGAGGTGGTGTTTTAAACTAAAAGAGGGGAGATTTAGACTGGAGAGAAGAAAAGTTTTTTACACTGAGGGTGGTGAGACCCTGGCCCAGGTTGCCCAGAGAGGTGGTCGAAGCCCCATCCCTGGAAACATCCCAGGTCAGGTTGGACGGGGCTCTGATCAACCTGCTGTAGTTGAAGCCATCCCTGCTCACTGCAGAGGGGTTGGACTGGATGACCTTTCAAGGTCCCTTCCAACCTCAACCAGCCTGTGATTCTGTGATACTGAATTCAATATAAAAATGGACATCATCACACAGAGACATCACAGGCTTTGGCAGAGTTCTTGACACCTCGCAGTCAAACTGTGAGTGTTCATATAAGTCAGTGTTTCTGGGGTACAAATCATAGCAAACTCACCCAAGAATGAAACAAACCCTACACAGCACATCTTTTTGGAAATAGGGCTGTCTGGATTGAGGCAGCTCTCTGGGCCTTGCCTGTATCCATAGCTGTGACAGAAAAATAACTGTCTCCCAGCTCTGCGAAAGGCAAAGCCTACAGATGAAATCTATTAAAATAGTGATAACATTGTTGCCAATGCCATTGGCTGTCAAAAACTACCACTTGCACATAGTTTAGCTTTTCTCCTTGCCCAAGAGCTACCACGTGCAAGCCCAGCTGCTCTGATAACATCTCCCAGTGCGACCAGTGCTCCCCTCATTGGGAGTGGGAGAGGAGGCAGAGGTGAAGTCCAGCAAGTGCGTCACTTCTTTCAGAAGGAAAAAAACCCAGGGAGCTTCCCCAAGGTCACCACACAGCACAGTGAGGAAGCCAAGTGGGTTTTGGCAGGTTGCTTAGCTTTCTCTGTCTCTTGGAGAATGTCCTTGCTGAGGCTCGTCAGGATCAGGCAGGTTTTGGCATTGAGAGCCATACCTCTTCCCACGCCCTGCAGCTGGGCTGGGCAGCTCTGGAGCTGATGAATGGACCTGAAGGACAGGCAAATGCTTTGGCAGGAATTTGTTTCCTGTTTGCAGCCTCCAGGCATCATGCACATCAGGCAGGAGCATCCTGTCCTACCCTTCTCTTTGGATGAGCCAGGGTAACACCACCTTTTAATGAAAGAGGAAGTTCATGTGGTGTCACCAGTCCATCTCCCCACATCAGCCACAGGCAAGAGCATCCCCTCACTGTGGTTTTCACCTGGTGCTGCCTTCTCCCACATTTGGGAAGTGTTTGGGCTCTTCTGGATTTTCCTTTCCTACATTTTGCAAGCTAAGCAGGTGATTTTGTGGACTGGAAAGCTCTTTTTGCTGCTAATACAAAGGAGATAAACCTCCTGGGAAGATGAGAAGAGAGAAGATGTTTCATCTTTTTCTTCTTGCTTTTCCTTTTTCAAGATTTTTGGACTCGAGTGGCAGCCCACCAGCAAAAGCAAGTATGTGGTGAAAGACAACCTCCTCCAGTCAGTGCTGGCAGAGGAAAGCCATGTGGTGTCTCCAGCCCTGAGGTCCACCAGTGGCATCAAAATCAGTTCAAGGTGAGCTATGTCCCCATACCACAGCTTTAATCAGGCAGCCCAGCATGGGATGAAGGTGCATTTGTTGGAGTTAAAATGTTCTCCACTCTCCTGCCAGTTCGGCTGGCACAGCCTGGTGTAGACAACAGGGAGCATAGGATGGGCTTGGCACAGAGAGAACACAACAGGCACCCTTTCACAGCTTCCCCCTTATCTCTTCCTTCTCCAAACCTGCATGAACCCAACCAGCCTCTGAGCCATGGCGGATGTAAATGGCAAAGAACCTCCTGATGGCTCCTTCTCCCTCCACAGGCAGCAGCTCCAGTTAGTGTCTCCTCTGATGCCAGGCCCAGCAGAGGTAGCCTCGACGACGTGCTGGCTGCCACAGAGGGACAGCACCAGCCCCTGACCATGGCCAGCACACCCTTCAGGAGGATCTGCACCCACTGCCCATCGGTCAGTGACACTACCCACCCCCCAGACTCACTGCGTGTTCTCCCCCAAGCTGGCCACCTGGGCAGGCAGGAGAAGGTTGTAGGATCTGGGGATAAACCACAGTGGTGTGTTTAGCTGTTGAGTCAGGAGGTGGCCCCAGGAGTGCTGTAGAACAGCAGCCCAACTTGTTACCTCACCAAAATAATGTGGAATTGCAATGACTTTCACACGATTTTCAGTTTCTCCTGCTCTTTTCCTGGCACCTACCACAAATTGGGGTGTTTGGGCTTCAGCACAAGTCCTCAGGGGTGAGGGTGGGAGGCTGCAGTAAATGCCTGCAGGCAATTGCATGACCCCCTTAGGCCCCTCATACTTCTAAATATTTCCCCAAGTTTAAATACTATGCCATGATTCAGCATCAGGAATAAAAGAGGTTAAATTCCACCTAACAAACCTCAACTTTGCAGCTGGGAGCCTACCTGAAGGCTTTTGACAGACGGAGAATCAAGACAGACACCTCGAAGGCAGCGACCACGTGGCAGTTCCAGAGGTTCATCCAGATGTTGCGCAGTGCCAAGAAGAGAGATGTTCTGCAGCTGCTGAGGAAAGCACCCGAGGAGATGCTGTGAGACTCCCAGGAGCTATCTTGCCCAAACCAACCTTCTGTACATGGCACATAGGGTCATTCCTGGCCCTGGCATTTGGTGCTGGTCCATACACCATGCTTGGTCCTAACTAGTGCAAGCATACTCTGCTTTTTTTATTAGTGCCTGTTCTTTACAAACACTGCATGGCTTTCTTTACTTTTTTTCTTCTTTTGGGGAGTGGGGGACGGGGCGCTGGCTTTGGAGCATAGCAAATGCTCCAGCAAGGCTTTCTGCAAATGTCCTTGGAGGTCTGTTATTTACAGACCATCTACCTGTGGCTGTAGCACCCCTCCCCTGTCAGTGCGGGCGCTGGGGACTCCTCTCTGCAGTGAAATACCTACCCAGGGGTGAGCTCAGAGCAAGAACCAACCACCACCAGCAGATCAAGGGCAGGGAGGGGATCCTGCCCCTCTGCCCTGCTCTGGGGAGACCCCCCTGCAGTGCTGGGGCAGCTCTGGAGTCCTCAGCACAGCAGAGACAGGGACCTGCTGGAGCGGGGCCAGAGGAGCCCCAGCAGTGACCCGAGGGTGGAACCCCTCTGCTGGGAGGCCAGCAGGAGAGAGCTGGGCTTGGGCAGCCTGGAGAGGAGAAGGCTCCAGGGAGACCTTCTCACAACCTTCCAATACTTAAAGGGGGCCTACAGGAAATCTGGGGAAGGACTTTTGATCAGGGAGCATAGTGATAGGACAAGGAGTAACAGTTTTAAACTGAAAAAGATTAGATTTAGATTAGATATTAGGGAGATTTACACTGAGGGTGGTGAAACTCTGGCACAGATTGCCCAAGGAAGCTGCAGATGACCCATCCCTGGAAGTGTTCAAAGCCAGGCTGGATGGGGGCTTTGAGCAACCTGGACTAATGAAAGATGTCCCTGCTTATGACAGAGGGGGTGGAACTAGGCAGTCTTTAAGGTCCCTTCCAAGCCATTCTATGATTTTAGGCTTTTTTTAGGCCATGAAGTGAAGCTCCCATGAGGTTTGAAGCAAGAGGCAAGCACAGAGAAGAGAAAGGGGGATAAGGAGCTGCACAGGGTACCATGTTTCTTTCTCCAGCTCCATCAGTAGGTTGTGGCATTAATGACCTCCTTCTTCATGCTTCAGCCCCTTTGTTGTGGAGGCAGCAGTGGCTGCGCAGTCGGTGGCATCCTTGGCAGCTCTCTCAGACTTCCTGGATTTCAGTAAGGAGCCCAAGTCCCTGCTGGAGAAGTTTCTCTATGCAGCAGCTTTCTCTCCCCGACCTTCAGGAGAGCTTCTTCACCTGGTGTTAGTAAGTATGGACATTTCTCTCCCTCCCTGAGGGTTCTGAGTCTGGGATGGATCCTCATCTTGTTTCCATTGGGAGGGAAGAGCAAGCGTATTTTCCTGCAAGAGGAAAACATGTTTCTGTGGAAATAGATCTGCCTGCTTATGGGATTATTTTATGTGCATTTAATGGGACACTGGTGATGGGAGTATGTGCTCTTCAGAGGAAAAATATTCAGGAGAAAGCGCTTTATGACAGTATACAACAGCTAATAAAAGCTTAATTAAAAGCCACTGTGAAAAATCCAATTAAACCATGCATTGCCTCCAAGGCAGGTAAGAACAAGTTTTTTCTTACTGTTTTGGTAAATGCGTTGAGATCATAGAATCACTTTAGTTGTAGGAGACTTCTAAGATCATCAAGTCCAAC